ACCGGTTGCTTCACGGTAATGAGTGCTGAACACGGAGCAGGAAAATTCTCTGGCTGGCGGGGGAAGTGGTGAGGACAGGCGCTGTTATTACGATATGATATGTACCTTAGCATGGGTGATCACTCCGACAGTAGTAGCAAATAGGGGGAGTGCCGATATCGGCGGCCAGCTACGGCCGGTATAGGATATGCTCTACTAATAGGCTGGTTTAATCCAACCTAGCATAGCTAGGATCACATATTCGACCCACTGTATCATACCTTCCCTCCCCTTCATGGCCTATCGGAAGTAACTTAAACCCAAGCATGCTTTTACAGCACGCTACCGCACGCAGGGAGGAAGAGCAGCGAACGCCAGATCAGTACAGCTAGACTAATTTATGATGTTTGACGACAGGAAGCAACTTCCATCCCCGGGGTGATGCTATTCCCGGTGTGGGATTCGGAAGGTGGTGTGGTACCTAGCTTGCGCACCTGTTTGCTATGGTTTTTATTGCCTTTCGAAAAATATAAAAATAAAAATAAAAATAAAGGCCCTTCGCGATCGCCGGTTTCTGTGTTCACATGCTAAGGTATCACGGAGGGGAATATAGCTTTCGGAAGGAAAGCCAGGGGGGGAGGTTGTGGGCAGCGTTTGGGGTTGAGCGCAGATGCGGTATTATCAAACATGCGAATAAGCTCGTGGTGAGGAGCGTGGACATTCGCAGTCAGCTTGCGCTACTTATTCGTGACCAAGTCATTAGCATTCTGGATGGAATTTCTATATCTGGAGGGGCTCCTGGGCCCGGTGCGAAAAGGAAATGAAGACCAAGTATCGAGGCTGAGAGCGAGCCCTAGGCATTAGTTATTCCGTTTCATTTTTCCCCTAGCTTCTTTTCCCTTCCTATACGATAGTTATGTTCTTATAGCCGAATCAGGGAATAGATTTTTTTCTGCACAAAACCCTCCGTATCCTATTTGTTGTGACTATTCCTCACAGTCTGAAATATCATACCTCTCAAGTTGGGGTGACCTCTTCCACTAACTTATTGGGGGGTCTTTGGTTCCTGTGGGAGACAGGTGGTGATTTGTGAAAAACCCTGTGCCGAGAGCCCGTTAAAGAGCACCTGACCACAAAGAGGTCCGACAGCATCGGTATCGTGGAGGTTTTTTTTTTTTTTGCTGTTACCGTTAAGGGGTGATGACTTGACTTTGAAAAAAGAGGTGATGGTATTGTATCTATCATACAGTGGCCAAAGGCTTCAGTGAAGTATCGTAGGTAATCAGGAGAACTCATTTTCAGGAAGCAGGTACAGTACTGTACCGGTGCTGTAGAAGGTTACCCGTATCGACGGAACCAAAGTTTGATTCTGACCCTTGAGGTTGCTTTCGGAAAGAGCCGAGAAGACCTAACCCTTAATCTCCCGCACTAAAGTCCCTCTCATGAGGACGATGAAAAAGTTTACTTGCACAGCACGTGAAGAGTAGGACATTTCCGTCGACCGGTCCCTCTCCCACAGCCAGCCAACCAAGGGAAGCAAACACCTCAACTCCTGGACTTCCACTCATCTACCCCCCTTTCCCACTCATTAGGATGAGCCTCGCAGCCCCCCGAAAGTACTTCCGCCTTTCTTATCCCTCAATCCACCTCACAATCGCTAACCAACGGACAGCAAAGTTAAAATATCTGCCGATCCTCGAAACACTCACTGGGCCAACAACACCTCCAACTTTGGTCATCGGATACTCACATCCCATGGCTGGACCCCCGGTTCTACCCTTGGCGATTCTTCCTCTTCTTACCATGCCAGTGGACACATCACCGAGGCGTCAAACACTGGTGTGAAGATTGTCCTCAAAGGGGATAATCTAGGTATTGGGTGTAAAAGTGGTATCAAAGATGACGAGTGCACGGGTTTGGACATGTTCCAGGATTTGCTCGGTCGGTTGAATGGGAGGGAGGAGGAGGTTGAGAAGAGGGTTCAACAGAGGAAGGTGGAGTTTGCGAGCGGAAGATACGGGATGAAGTTTGTGCAGGGGGAGACGCACATCAGCAGTGATGTTGATAAGCTACTTGAGGATATCAGGAAGATGGATGAGGAGAAGAGGGGAGCTGCGAAAGAGAAGGAGGAGGAGAGAAAGAGAAAGAAGCGCGAGAGGAAGGCAGCTAAAGCTTCCAAGGTGGAGCAGGAAGATCAAGCAGGGGAGAGCTCTGCATCACCACCCGCCGAAGAGCTGGCCAATAAGGATAAGAAGAAAAAGGAGAAAAGGCCTAAAAAGCCTGAATCCTTTACGTCAGCCCCCCCCACTACTACCTCCTACTCTTCGGACTTGGAATCCAGGTCTAAGAAGCGAAAGCGCACAGACGATTCTAAAAAATCCAAAAAGAGAAAAAGGGACAAAAAAGATAGGGGGAACAAAAGTAAACGATCCAAAGTATCCACCGACATAGAAACACCTGCTTTGACATCTGGCACTATAACTCCTACAGCTCTGACCGGAAGACAGGCAATTCGGCATAGATACATCGCGGCCAAGAGAAGTGCAGTAATGGATACGAAAGCTCTGAATGAGGTTTGTTTTGAAAGCTTCTGTTTTCCCGTTTATTAGATTGTGTGTGCGTGATGCTCATGTTTGATTGTGGCAGATATTCATGATAAAAGCATAATTCATGATTTCATTATTATTATACCTTACGGGCAGATGGGCATAGTGGGTGTGATAATTGAGGCGAATTTGTATATAAAATAAAGGCGCTATCATATTTATTTGTTTCCTGTAATGTGCCCTAGTTGCCTGCCGACTCTGGGACTGTAAAAGTGCAGAAGTGATATTTTTTGAGCGTCCCGTGCTACTCGAGCATGATACTTGTATCATTTTTCCCCTTCATGGCTATGTACAGTACAGTACAGTACTGGTACAGCATCATACAGTGCCTGTACCGTACACAACTCAACCACCGATGCAGCTCCATATTATGACTAAATATCTAGTTTAGCATCTATACCGTAGTTGCCTTTCATGGGGGCATCTATATAAATTTGGAGGACTCAAACAATATTCCAAGGCCCCCTTTGCATGCCCCGCACAATACGACCAAATGTGAGGTCCCCAACCAAAGGCAGCATTGATCCCTTGAACACGGTACGATAATCACTTGTACTCGTAGATTGCCACCACTCTTGTCATCGTTCGTCGGGGTTCCGAACCTCGTTTTAGACCACAACGAGAGCGGATGGTCTGGAGCATCACACCGGTAGGTACGGTAAGTTGGGCGTCAGGATATATGGGCAAAAAGTCATAGGTTCCTAAATTCTTAGGTTCTCACCTTTGCACCTGCACCCGTGGATAAGTTTTTTTTTTCTTTCTTCTTTTTTACCTGATTAATTAGTACGGTCGCCATTCATGACTCGGTATGCGGTATTTGTTTTTTTCTTTGTTTTTTCTTTGTTTTTTCTTTGTTTTTTTTTTTTTTTTTCCGAAGCTCAGGTTTTCCCCCCGTCCGATGATGCCGACGGGCACTGTAACGATTCTGTGACCCTATCTGAGCATTACCAGAATGTTGGATATCCGTTTTATCGTGAATATGAGCTCTACCGGTACCGTATACAGTACCGTACTCGAGTAGATGCAGCTGCACACTTAGTCATGCTAGTGCATACGCAGGGAACGGAATAATACGGTATGATAGCATGGGCGGGAAGTGAAGCGAGATGTAACATAATGCAAGTGGAGAGACCTCGGGGGGGAGGGGGATTTGGTATGAAGTGCGATCAGCGGGCTCATCAGGAGGATGATGGTGAAGGTGCTGCAAACCGTGAAATACGGACTCGCCTGTGAAAAATGCTTCGCGCAAATGCAGCATGATAACATATAGTAATACTTGTAATAATAATTACTGCCTTAACAACGCGTGTTAGAGCCGCCAGGTCGGGAGCTTAAAGTTGGAATACGTAAGAATACTAGTCTTGGCGTGACGACCACAGAATTGCCTACCCCCCAACAAATCCTGTGTTCCTAAGCTTCCCGCAATCGCCCATCTCGCCTTCTCCCCCCTACAGCTCACTCTCTCAAGCAGCCCTCATTGTAATTTTTAAAATCCATCCATCTATACGGGTCTCTCGGCCTTCCACATCTATCATTTATCTCCATCCTCACCTCACTCTGGCTACAAACAAGCCACTAAATCCACCGCATCTCCTGGATCCGAGTTCAAACTAAAGAAAGCAGGTGTTGCCCCTCACTGCTGAACCCCACATTGTCGTTTGATTCTCGCCACCTCGTGCGTCCTTATATCATCTTCCCCACCTTTGCCAGTCCCTGTCCGAGCTGCTGATTCTTCTTCTCTCTCTTTGCGACAGGATAACTCTCGGCTCACCTCTTTCGCAATCAGATTCATCGGTAGCCACGTACAAACGCATTCACGATGGACGAATTAATTTCCCAGTTTACAACTATCACCGGCGCCACCGTCCGCAAGGCTGAGACTTACCTCAAGGTTTCTGATGGAGATCTTGAGCAAGCGATACAGTTATACTTCGACACTGGCGGAGCTGATATGGAGTCCGGACCTTCTACGCAAACTGCTCCCCCACCGCCGCCGCCCCCGCCTGCGTTACCTTCAAGGCACAACCTAATTGATGATCCTATCCAGATCGGCGATGATGAGATAGACGATGACGACGATGACGATGACGATTTGAGAGAAGCATTACGAGCAAGTGAACCCACTAGGTCCACCGCTACACCTGGCAGTGGGTCCGGGTCTGGTGTTAATTCAGCGTATGATGAGGATGAGGCTATCGCTAGGAGGTTGCAGGAGGAGCTTTACGGAGAGGCTGGGGGCGCTAGTAGTGGTGGCGAAAATGGCGTTAGAGCCCCGATTGCAAGAACTAGAGATACCCTTATTGGTGGAGATGACTATGGATACCCCGAAGGCATAGCTGAGAGAAGGAGGCTGAGAGGTGGTAGATCCTTCTTATAATGATCTCAAGTTTTACGAAGACGTACTGATTCCGTAAACCATAGCTGCAACTAGTCGCTTTGGGGCATTTGGTCGACGGAGTGCCGCAAACGTTTGGGCCCCCGAAAGTACAGATAGTAGTGAGTCACTTTTGGAGGCTGTTGGAGGGGTTTCTGAATCCTCGTCCAAGCCCAGTAAACTGGCAGAGATCTTCCGACCTCCATTCGAGATTATGACCAATTTATCTTTTCAGGATGCGAGGGATGAAGCAAAGGAGGTGGAGAAGTGGATTCTTGTCAACATTCAAGATAATTCTATCTTTTCCTGCCAACTTTTGAACCGAGACATCTGGAAAGCCCCTGAGGTGAAGGCTACAGTCAAAGAGAACTTCGTTTTCCTGCAGATGGATCGTGCGGGGAGGGATGGGAAAGATTATCTCAGACTATACATGGCCAACGCAGTCGATGACACTGCGCTTTTCTCATCGGGAACCAAAGCCGAGGATGTATTTCCACACATTGCGATCATTGACCCCCGAACCGGGGAGCAGGTGAAGGTCTGGACTGATGTGCCGAAAAATCCCCTAGAGTTTCTCATGGTCCTGCACGAATTTCTGGATCGCTACTCCCTCAAAGTCGATGCTAAGAACCCCGTTCAACGGAAAACCAAGCCTAAAGCTAGCGTTGCCCACATGACAGAGGACGAAATGATGCAGCTAGCGATGCAAAACTCGCTCGGTGGCACCAGCACTCCCCTGGGCGCAACTTCCGACCCCGATGATCTCACTAAGACTGGTGGGGCATCCTCCGATGTTGGTGACCTAATGGAGTTTGAAGAAGTACAGGAGAACCAAGCCGACACGTCTGAAAAACAGGAATCTGTGTTTTGGAGAATTCGCGGGGATAAACATCATGCGGAGCCATTGAGTGGCCCGGATGTCACGCGCATACAGTTTAAGATGTCAGATGGCACACGTGTAGTCCGCAGGTTCTTGTTGAAAGATCGCGTGGAGCGGTTGTTCGAGTACGTGAAAGCAGACCTACTTCCCGAGCACCAAGAGAAGAGGAAATCCGGCCCCGACGATAAAGAGGACTTGCTGGTGGGGAAAGAGTTTGAGCTTGTTTCTTTGGGCAAAAAACTCATTGATCATCTTGAAGAGACCATTGATGAGGCTGGTTTGAAGATGGGGACCGTTATGGTGGAGGTTCTCGATTGATTGATTATTGATCGGAGACCGGGATGGAGGGGGGGTTCAATAGACTTTCCTTTATTTCGTGCCTTTTCTTTATTTTAGTGGAAATTCATCCTTTTTTTACTTTCTCCTATTTCTCTTCTCACCCTTCTGTGGAACTTGCTCTCTTAGCTTTTATTGGGGAGTTTTGTTGGGCGAAAAAGGGCAGGCTGGTTGACGGATATCTTACAAGGATGCGCGATGCGTGAGCAGGTGGACGGAACAAGAACGAGTGTGGGTGTACTGTATCTAATTAGCACGGACGATTATGTTGCATTCATAAACGTTCATTATCCTCCCTTATGCCGGTGGGGCAGGCGGTGACAATGTGACGCGCTTACTTGTAATGACGGGACTATCTACTTGGACCGCTAGAAATGGACCCCCTACCACACTTGTTTGGACGCTTCGGGTGGCCCAATTTTTGTGGAGTGCTGGCCTGGTTGTCTTTGCATGAAGTGATAGTGATAGTGGTATTGGTATTGCGATTGATTTTGATCTATAAGAGCTGACCGTAATATAAGTATGCCGGACTAGTCTAGGCAAATACCGTGAGCGAGTATATACTGCACCCCATGAGATGAGAATTGTTGGGCTTGATGCCCATGGCTATTTAATCCCATGGTTTCTCGTAGCTATAGACTCCTACACCATAGGATGTCTGGGAACAGGGGCGCTATCCCAACACCTTGCGGTCAGCTGCTAACACCTGCCAACACCCACCAAGTCGAGTCCTATAGTCCGCTAACTTAGGGATAGGGACGTGGATATGATACAAGCAAGCATACTCGAGTGCAGAGGGAAAGCTGAAAACGAGTGAGTCATTATGTATCACCAAACTTCCTTCCCTTTCCTCCTTCCATTGGTTTGATAATGATAATGATAATAATATTATTATCATAATTATTATCATACATCAAGATGCCCCAACCTGAAATAATGAGGGTTATACGCAATTCCCCGAACGGGGCTGCGAATATTGTATAGTATCATACGCCCGTCAGTGCACACGGATGATATAATAGACGCCCTTCGGCTGTACTGTACTCGTACTGCACATCAGCGATCCGTAACCAGTACTAACCATATTCCTCGCAGCGAGCCTGCCTTCTTCTTTCCTTTCTCACTAACAAACAGCTGCCGATTTGACTGCGGTCGCACCCATTACGCACTCCTGTTGAGGGTGCATGTTTATCCGGTGTTGTACGATAGAAAGTGGCGGGGGCCTTCCGGTCTCTCTTTTTTTTTTCCTTTCCTAGCTCGCAACCGGGACTTTCGAGTTATCGGTTGATCCCTGGCGCGATTGGAAGGTCAATTCCCATCATGAGGAGTTTTGTTATTATTATTATTATTATTATTATTATTATTATTATTATTATTATTATTATTATTATTATTATTATTAGAAGAGGGGTTGGTCGGGTAGAGTTGGAGAATTGGCAAAGTGCCCCCCCCCTATGGAGTGGTATTATATCAGAGATATCTGACTCTGGATCTTAGGGAGGGGGGAGTAGAGTAAGAAAAAAGGAAATAGTTGTCGTCCCTCCTCTGGGTTTGTTATTATGGTGCATTGGCTACTGCATTTTTTTCGAATGGTATATACGGACACTCCACCCTAGTATCATATCATAGTATCATACTAATAGGATTGAACTAGTTCTGAGGGTGGTAGCTACCCATTCGATATCGATCGCCTCACAAAGTAACCGTGCTGATCTCAAAAAAAGTTCAGGCGCGAGTAATTGCTATCGAGATAGCAACAACTTGTATATTCATTTCTCAAAAGTAGATTCGCTCCTTTCTAATGCTACCGCGAGGCCCCTCCCTCCCTCCTATATCTCTCAAGAGGATAGCAATTGCCAGTAAAAAGCATTTCTAAAGGGCATCAAGAGATTCACGAATACGGCTGTATGAGTTATGTTCTTCTTAGCTGACGTTGTGTTTCCCCCCGACTTCGGCACCCTCAGACCGCCGAGAGGCTATCGGACATTCCTTCCCACGCACACACGCCGCAGAAATAGATACTATCGGATGGCGCTGAACTTGAGCACAGTAACATCTTCCAAGTAGTAAGATAACATGTCATCTTGTATCAGGATATCTTAGCGAGTGATTGCTTTTTGTGTTGGAGTTCTTGAGCAAAAAGTCGCATGAACACGCTGGATGCTGTTTCCTTTCCGTCAGCTCCCAATATGGCGTAAGGTAAAAATCGTGTGCTGTCAATGATCTGTGACACTACTTTTCTCGGGAAACGGATAGTACGATACCCCTCAGAGCGACTATCATAGCTACTGTATTTTTGAATGGGAGAAACCGAGGTGCCAATATTCCCTGAGTGGAGCTTATGATAGGACCTCGTGCAAATGAGTGATGCTGTGGGTAACCGCCCCAGACCCACGACCAAGGACAAGACTAGGAAAAAAGGATTTCGTGAGACAAAAAAAGATTCCCTCTTTGTTGACCCCCCTCACGCTACACTTCTAACAATGTCATATGGGACGTTACCTACCGTAGTATATTAGTCAAACTGGGCTGTTCTTTTGTTTGTTTGTCTTCCTTTGAACACATAAACCCTTGCCACTCACTATGCTCTGGACAAGATGCTTATATATCTCGTCACGGGAATGGTGTCTTGCGGTCTGAGATACTCGACCGCTAGGGATATCCTGGAGTACATATCAATAGGACTTGTCCACTAGGTAAGATTCAAAGCGTTCAGACATGCAGACAATGATACCGCCGTCTACAGCCACCCCCCCAAACACCTGTGCTGTAACCCAACCCGCGCCAGCCAACCACAATCGATAAAGAATCGAAAGCGCTCATGGTAAAAAAATAAAAACCAAAGCACGAAGCCGCCACACCTCAGGACAGAAGGCTTAACAGACAGCCCGGGAGGGGCACAGTATGTGTAATATATATCCTCCTTACCGGTTAGAAATCCTGGAACGCAACCCCCCAAAATGGAAAGAAACGAACAAAGTCCATGCCGGTGCTCGGGCGATAACAGGAGCTCTGCGATACGGTACGATGCTGACCCAGGGAGCAAACGAACGACCCAGCGCCGCCGCGGGCGGGGCGCGGCCATCAGATGTAAACCCGGTGAGAGGGGGTACAAGTACAGTACAGTAGAACGGGGAAGGGCAACAAACCAGTCCGAACATCGCACCGGATGGTACCGAGGAAGCAAAACCGCCTCCCATATCGCATGCAATGATACGGGATGTGAAAACCAGAAACTCAATACCCCTCACGCCTCACGCCCCTAGGCAAGTAAATGCTTAACATCCACTTCGGGGCGAGGGTTAGGATGCAGATATAATTGCCAGGAGGGCTTTTACAAACCCACAACCACTGGGCGAAATCGACAGTACGACTCGCGCTGTAGTTCCAGGTTCCGCTCACTTGTAGGAATTAAAAACAGACCTCCCTTTACTGTTCTCGAGTAGAGACCGGAACGGTTAGGGGCGACGCTGGACGTTTGGAATTTCCCTCCTTGGAAAGTGGTCCCCTTTTTCGGCACCCGGTTGGGTGATAGTGCCGTAGGAGGAGGGAAATATGCAATGGACCTCTAACGTACCGTGATGGCTAGATTCTACGATACCTAGAGACGCCCGGACGGATAATTGGGAAAAGAACAGTTGAGTTCCGCTTTGGTATGTGTACTTCTCTCGCACTGGCGCTGGTTCGGTAATACTTGCTGTTATACGGTCTTGCTCGAGGGTTTGTGTTTCGCGGGTCAAAATATTATTCTTTGACTTGAAGGAATTGTAAAGTGTTATTCTTCCGGATGTCGAGATATAAATAAAACAGCGAGTTCCAAATCTCAATCGGCACAATGGTAGTATGACGTCTGAGCTCTCAAGTATTTGAACGGTACGCTCACAGTATCACTGCGTTATCAAAGTTCCAGATTTCATCCTTCTCTTCAACCGCTCTCTCCCTCGACCACTACCACCAAACAGCCACTCTATACAATCCCCTCCCCTCCCCCAATTTCAAAAACAGTGACCCCATCACTCCCCGTACAGTGCCCGTACATCCCCCTCCCCTCTCCCTCCCAAACCCACCCCAGAGGACCCCACACCCAAATCTGTCCCGGCGCAGCAAACACCACGATGCCCACCTTACACATGCAGCAAGTCGAATAGACAGTTCGCTAGAAGCGATGTACTGCCAGCGCTATCAGAGGAGGGGTTGTTTATTCCGCAATAATATCCAAAGGGTAGAATAGCTTCCTTTTGGAGTAAATTTCCGATTCCCCACAATTAATAACAGCCAGTGTAATACTTTCACATGCGTAGGTTTGGCCGGTAGTTTTTCACCGCTGTGCTGTACTGCGCGCAGAGGTAGCACTCACTCATGAAGCCTTAAAAAGTGGACCAATCCCCAAGCACTCCGTATTATCTACGATATCGCTGGCATCGAATTAGTTCCGAATATAGATTATGAGATAGGGCACATCAACACCTCGGCGAAATCTGCCGATAATGCGGACCTTCCGGTTACCCCGGTGGTCAATTGGCATGAGAACAGTTACCCATTCGTCTGCGTGTTAACGCTCGGCGACACATCCGAGATGAAGGGAGGGGAAACCGCTCTTCAGACTGGGACCGGTGAGGCCATGAAGGCTCGGGGCCCATAGACCGTATGCTCAAATCCCTCCCCTTGCGTCGTTAAATTGTTGCCGAGATGTTGGTAACATTGCAATGAGCAGGGATCAGTCGTAGCGCTTCAGGGAATGTACTCGAGTACATAGCTCACATAGCTCTCCAGTCAACAAATTACCGAGAAAGAACCACAATAGTTACCCGAGGACTCCGTTCTTGCTACTATCGGACCTATTTCGGACCTCAGGGAATTGCATAATCAATTGGCGGAATACCGGATTGAAATTGCCGAAGAACGATGTCGCCGCCTTGCGAAGAAAGAGAGAGGTCGAGAGTGGGTTGGCAGAGACTTTGACGTCAAAGGAGTCAAAGTCGAGACCGAATAATCCAAGAGCGTTCTTGAGAGAACTAGCGACGAACTAGCCGGGAAAGGAGATTGTCTCAGTGACAGGAAATTCGGTAAAAAGCAAGTTGACACAGCCGAGGAAAATCTGAGTAGGAATAGGAACAGGGCGGAATTGATGTAATTGCTTGTATTTGATTAGGGGCGTTGGTGGAATTTGGAATCCATTTTTCGGAGTACCGGTACTTCGTTTTGCTATATCCCCCCAATGTTGTTGTTGCATCCCCCATTCTTAAGTTGTCTGTGCCTAATTTCCCCATCTGTATCCAGCTAGTATCACGTATGACATCCAGTCCCACCACGAACAATGCGGGTCTGTCTGCAATATCATCCGCCGATATGCGATTCTACTCGAGCGAACCCGAGAAAAGACGAACCGTGCCGCGTTGGGATAAGCATACCTGTGGTGAATGTATGTGTCATAACCGAATACGGTGCGACTGCGGGATTAGCCTTGACTGGTTCGGCAAATGTTGATGGTGGTACAGGAAATAATGCAGCCCTGAAGTGCGGGGAATGAATGGCCGAGTGATATGCTGTGAATATAGGTAGCTGCATGAACTGGAGTTAGGGTGTAGCCGTTTTCGGAAGTTGCTCAAGTATGATAGGCCTCCAAAATGTCCGAGTAAAGTTATTCCATCGGGATTTTATAGCCTTAGTGTATGATAGTTGGTATCATAAGAAATCGATCGAGGAGCAGTAAAGTGATCGACAACAACCCCAACGCTAACAACTCCCCAGGTATATGGTAGGTCTCGCCCGTCCGTAGCGGCGCGCGCCGGAGATCTTCGAGAGGGGTATCGATGGATGTCCGGGGATTCTCCAAACAAGGCAGTCCCCTGGCCCTTCATCATTGTAAATCACTCGGTTTCCACAGACCACCATAAAACCAAGGGCAAGCATACCTGGGGGTATGATACGGTATCAGGGGGGCGCCGGGGGTGGTGAAGGTAGCAGGGCTCAGGGCCCGTAACTAAACTCTTTTGCTCAGGTGAAAAATCCTCCGTCAAAGAAAGGGGTTGGCAAGAATGTCCTTTATCTCTTTAGGAGCTGCCGCGCGGGGGAATTGATTAGTGAAAGGTTATTGCAACCAGATGAGCGGCCGATCACTCCCGAAGCAATAGTGGCCACTCTGGACAAATGAGATGCAACACTCTACTCGAGTACTTATTGCGCAACTCGATGCCCGCTCGCAGATAGGGGGACGAAAGAAACAGAAGATAACATGGCGAATTGCTAGAGGTTGGAGAGGTACTCGAGTAGCACAGAGCTCACCCATGGTTCCACCGGTGTGATACTTTATCAGCCTCAGGTGATATCAGTGTGGAAAGTGGGGGTGGTAGTGAGACAGCAGTGACATCCATTCCTCCGCACACTTAGAATATCATACTGTAGATAACAGGGGTCTCGCGCTCCAAAGCTCCTTTGGAGGATAGAAGTTACTGTGTTCATTTGTACTTGTACGAGTAGAGGCCATTTTCACCCAGCCCGAAGAGTTCTCGAGCTAGACCGCTCTCAACCTAAAAGCAATTAACGCTCCTGGTTGACGATAACAAAGATGAGAGGGTGTCTAGGTTTTGCGGGCCCTGCACGGCATCGGAAAATTTCAAGTACGAGTAGTGTTTGGCATCGCGGGGTATTCAAATGGCGGAAAGAACGCCGTAAGATACCCTTCGGTCGGGGGTAACACAAATAAGGTGGGGGAGCCGGTATTATCTAATCCATCACGAACTATTATCCAAAGCACCCTCTGGACTGTGGAGTACTAAAGCCTCCGAGGGTCGCAGCATCGCCAAATTCACATGCGCCGCGTAGCCCATTGATCGCAGCGGTGGAGCTTGGTCCCTTGCCTTAAGTTAGTGTCGAGGCGGGGAGTTATCCCATCGCAGTCTCGATATCATAAATGCCGGTACCGTACCACGCCTCGCCAACTCCTTGATCTCCCTTCCAAGCACACACGAAAAATCTCCAGTTCATACCCTTTGCGTACATATCACATGTATAACCGCATCATTACTGTATTCCGCAATTCAGTTCATAATAAAATACAGTAATGCCAGTCTATACTGTATAATATCGCACCCCGTACCTCACATCAAGGCTGATCCATATTCCTGGACTAGCGGTCTCCCACATGGGCACCACAGGGGCTAGAACTCGTGATTGCCGAAGCGTCCTCTTGGGCCGATTCCGGTTCGTAGGTTAGTGAGAATGGATGATTTGGAAGGCCAAGGGGAAAATGCGAACGAAAGAAGAGAGTTGCCCGAAAGCCAGTGGATGGTTTGAATCCCATATCCCGGGGGCATTATCCCTAAGTCGTGCGCTGCATCCAAAAGGTCTTTTGAAGGAAAACAACAAGACCTGGAGTGTGTCCTTCCTTGGTTTGGTCATGGGTCGATGGAGTTTCAAACTGAAGCCCTACCCAGCAGACCTCTTGGGCGCAGCGAAGGACCATGGGACAATGGATGACCTCCTGCACATGCTTAGGGAAAATCTCCAAAAATTCAGCTACTGGAAAGGGTTGTGTTCATCTGTCCTTGCCCAAAGCTGGTGGAGTATGGTGATTAAGCATTTTAAAGATTTCTTATTCCAATGGTATATCTGTGGTGTTTCTCAGGTAGTAAGTGCGGCAGGCTCAGAAGAATGCACTCCTTGGAGCATGGCCCCCTATATAAGTAGATTTGGTTTTCAGGGCTGGCCATTATTGAGGCGGTTGTTATAAGTACAGTCGCACCTCGCTATAATGGACCTCTTTGTATGAGAAACCTCGCCATTACGATGAATCGTACGGGAATCAAGACCCTGCTCCCATACAAACAGTACTCGCTATAAGGAATTCACCCCAAAACCTCGTTATAACGAACAAAACCCCCCCAACTCTTGGAGTTCTTTATAACGAGGTGCGACTGTAGAAATTTATGGAATGGAGGGGCGCAGGGAATTTTTGGCTTGTCCAGTAGAGTACCGGTACCCTTTCCGTGTGTCCATACCGAGTAACATCCTCTCCCCCCTTTTCCTCCACGCCGGCCCCCTAACGGCCTAACACCTTCAGTAATACAGATACGGTACCTGATTGGAGGCGGGGAAGGAAAAAATATTTTGACCACGGCTCCAATATAAGTATCATACTCGAGTATTTTGTAAGGATTTTCTCCTTTTCAACATAATTGGTGTACGAGTAAGGCTGGAAAGGGGTTATGGATGAATGACAGAAGACCAGGAATTGGCGCGTTGAAGACAGATTAGACGGCCTCTTCACGGGTGGAGCTAGGCAATTACAGGCGCCCAACTCTGTGATTTAACCTGTACGAGTACAGTAATAATTTACAGTAATACTTTCGGTTTACCGGTACTCGTACTCGTATTCGTTGGGGAAGCTAAAGGTGGACAGAAAGAAAGGGGGTTGGTCTCTCGTTTCATCGCCAAGACTTTGTTTCATTTCGTCCGTTCTTTGAAGCAGCCACTTTCGCTAACTTGAGCACGCTTGCATCGGGACATGTGGGGGAGGCGAAGAGTGCCGTATCTTTGTGGCGAAGGGCTGGGGATGTGCCCTACCGCCAGTACGAGTATCATATCATACTACAAATAGTGTACGAGCTTGATATGATACAGAGGGAAGTCGGAATTGCAATTATGATACCGGTACTGGAGGTGTGCGGGGGAAATCAAGCATTTCAATTACTACCTTCCCTGAGCAAACATCTCCCGGTTCTACTGCATAACCGATATCGATAAACTCATCCACCACCGACTCGTCAAGGGTTAGATTAGGATGTTATCAGATCGAAGGTGGAATGACTAATCAAGGCTTCGAGATCGGAGCCTCCCCACGAAAAAAAAAGCGTAGGCATCTACCCTACTGGCCCCAATCTTCACCACCACAGGCAGCAGAAAGCAGAAGTTCTGCTGATAGTTGCAATCCAACCATATCCCATTCCACCCCACCCCACCACTTCGAAACCGCCTCCAGAACTAAGCTTGCCTTCACCAACACTCGTGTGTACCAGTGACTTTCCTGTGACTGGTGGGTCCATTAATATTTGGGCTCCTTTTGTTCGGCTGTGGGCTCCTCCCCCTCCTTTGTTTTTCCATTTGTTTTATCCTCCCCCAGGCATTCATTTCTCATCGTTCCATTCACTTCCCTTCCTATTATCTACAAATTCCCCTGCCCTACGCTCTCTATCCGCTTGTTCCTTTGTTGCGCCTACTTCGTTTCTTGGCTGTACGGCAACCAACCACGTACCGAACTGTACGACACAACCTTCTCTCCTCCTCGCTGGTCAGCTAGCTGTTCGCCAGCTCTGAGCTGTTTCCTCGTTCTCCTGGCCCACCCTATTAGAGCGGTGAGGTGGACTTTTTCGCCAGGGGTGAAGGGGGGGGAATAAATATATTCTTTCAAAAGGTGTTCGGGAGTGGGATGCACCGCACGTATTCCCCCCCCAATCTGCAGTTTCGGGACGCCACCTCGACCAGCTTTCCTCTCGTGCTCACCGTTGTCACTTTTTTTTGTGTTTCCACCTCTCTATCTTCCCTCATCGTTTATATTCATCCGTCACACACTCTATTTTTGGCCTTCTCTCTACTGAGTTTGAACTTTGACCGTCTAATTACCGACTTCCGATACTAACTACGGCACCAGTTATAGTCAGTGAATGGACCCGCAGACTCTCAGGACAAATCGTTTGGGGTCCAGAGGAAAGCAGAGTCTCTTTTCACAAACGAGGAGCGTCTCGGAAAGCAGTCTTTGGTCGGAGAGCCGAGCCACCGGGCTTGCTGACTCGATACAGAAAGGTGGAGGGATGGGAGTTGCGGGAGGTTTGCACGGCGGGGCTGCCAAAGGTGGACGGAGGGATTTGACGATCGAAACAAATCCGAAAAAGGACTTCAAAGACGATGTATGTCCGATTACGACCCCTGCCTACTACGAAATTTACCACTCCCGCTAAGATAGAGATATGGAAGATGCTGACTTGGCGGACTTCGGTTTATAGATCATTGATGACCTTAACAAAGACCTCCAGAAGCTACAGAAATGTGTCACGTGCGTTATCTGTCATGATATGTTGTTCGAACCTTTCTCTCTACAATGCGGGCATGTATTTTGCTACACGGTATGTAACACTCATACCTTATACACCCTTGGGGCCCTCTGTTAGGCTAACGGTGTTTTTGCAAAACCTAGTGTATGGTGGACTGGTTAGGCCTGTATAAAAAGAGAACCTGTCCAGAATGCCGAGCGGTTGTCAAAACCCAGCCGGCACCAGCTTATTTGGTAAATCTTCGATTCGGGAGTCTTTCGGCGGGGATGATAGCTGACTGCATTGGGATTGGATCAGATTCGAGACATGATCGAGACTTTCGTCCATAGAGCTGAATTGACGTCTCCCCATGGCACCGGCTCAGAACTACGGAAACAACAGCGGGAAGCCCTGGCAGCTATAGAAAAGGATAGAGCTGCGGAGGGTAAGGAGGATGGTGGCTTATTCAAAGGCATGTTCAAGAAAAAGAAGTTCCATGGGCGTCGGGGCTTTAGGGACCCTGCGGACGGAATCACAAGGTGCCCGGACTGTAACTGGGAAGTAGAGGATGGCCTCTGCACTGGTTGTGGCATGGAGGTTCTTGAACCGAGAGGCAATGTTTTTTCAGATTCAGACGAGGATGAGTCCGACGTCTCTGATGATTCTGACGATTCGGATTCGGATTCGACCGGCCCTAGTCTGAACAATCACTTTGGCCGCGATCCGGAACAAGAGCTCGACGATGAAGAGGATGAGGATGATGATGATGAAGAAGAAGACGAGGATGATGATGAAGAGGAAGACGAGGATGATGAAGAGGCCGATGAGTGGCAAGACGAGGAGGATATCCCTGGGTACAATGTGGACTCTCCAGGAATGAATGCCAGATATTCTGGCCCGCACGGTATAAATCAGCCACGGGCACTTTTCCACCGGATTCACCCATCGGGATCCGGCAGAAATATTCCCACCTCCCAAAACGCTAGCCAAGAGTTTGGCATGGCTAACGGGTTCAGCGTATTCCCCTCAAGCGAAGCCGAAGAGGGTGGCAGGAGTGATGACACCGAAGGTAGTTTAGCGGATTTTGTGGAACACGACACACCCGAAAACACTCGTCGATCACAACGGGGAAATACAAGGAATGGCAATAATAGCGCTATTCAACAAATTACCATCAATTCATCTCCCATCCTTATCTCATCTACCCCAGCCACTTCCTCCAATATGCCACCTAGGCGTCGCGGAAGAAGGGTTGTCTTGGAAGACGAGGATGAGAATGATTCATCACTTAATATCAACGACTTTCCAACATGGCCGGAGGTTGATGTTGAGCAGTTTGGATATTCGCCGTTAGGGGAAGTGACGACCGCCAGCGAGAACGATGATGATGCCCTCTCAAGCCCACCAAGTCGTAGACTCCGGCGTGGTGGGCCACCTAGTAGCGGCGGGGGTGGCAGCGTTCCCAGTGTTCCGGAGGAAGACGAAGAATCGGGCTCTGGTAGATTTGGTGATGACGACGATAGCGAAGACGAAGATGGTGATATCGTCATGACTGGCACTCGGGGGCGTGCAAGGAGGGGTGCCAATGGTACCAATGGGCAAAGAAGAACTCAGAATAGGGGTGGGAATCGCGCTCGGCCCGTTGAAGTCCAAGATTCAGATAGCGACTTGGACGTCCAGCCAAGGCCAGCGAGGCGTAATGGGAGGAGCAACACTTCATCCAGCAACCGTCAGACACATGGTCGGGGTGCCGCTGGGAATACCAGGTCGACCAACTCCCGCGGCAGGTTTAATCCTAACTTGCAGAATATATTTTCTGCTCACCATCAACAGAGAGAACAGACGCAGTATGATGCCTTGGCAAGATACAGTGTTAGCCCGGCAAGAAGCATTACGCCTGTTCAACGACAGCACACAGGTGAATCTCGGAGAGCCTCAACTCCACTCAGAAGCGTGGAGCAGGGCAATCCACCCATGTCACCTTTGATTCGTTTGTCGAACGACCCTCCAACCCCGACATTTGTCCCGGGCCACCCTTTGCCATTATTACCTCTGCGTTCCCCTATGCAGAGCCCTGTTCAGAATCCCCGTCAGGGTCGCGCCGGCGGACTTGGGCCTCCGGCGGAACACCAAATTATTAACAATAGCCGTCCTATCTTGAGTAATCCACCTTCGGATATGCAGCAAGCACCAAGGACGGGCACCATAACGATTGCCTCCCCTGGGCTGAGGGTTAGGGGTAGGAACTCAAGACAGCAATTGCGGGGGACTTCGAGCAGGGTTGGCCTTCGCGGTGGGAGTATTATACCCACTCAATCCTCGACTTCTAGTAACCTTGTCTCCCGCCGTCAAAACACTGTTAGTATAGAACGAGATGCAATATTCGCCAGAGGGGCAGCAGCTATCAGAAGGCAACAAGCCCCGAGAGATGCTGCGGGGACACAATTGGGACGCAGAAATAGCCGGATCTCATTGAACTCAAATACCATCCAATCGCATAACCAGACTCAAAATCAGCCTACTGCGGCAGAAGCATCCAGAGTAACAACCAGAAGCGGGCAGCAAGTGGGCTCAGCATCAGGACGGATCGGAGTTCCTATAGCTAACGGACCGGTTTCACAATCGAGCGGGGGGCCTCTATGGGCTCTTAGTGAAGACAGATGTTGAGTGTGGGTGGAGTGGTAATTTTTATTTTCACTGATTGTCTACGGTATTTCCTTTATGCATTGGGTGGTCTTGGGAAGAAGGGGCCTGGGTTTACAAGTCGTTTTCATCATCATTACCTAAAAATCCCTTTCGTCCATTTCTCTTTTTCCTGTCTCATACAATCCCCCACCTACTTAGCTTAGCTACGCCCATACCTATTTTTTCCCTTTTTTTCTCACACCATCCGTCGTCCGGTACCCGGTACCTATAAAATGGCTTTTATTACTCCCAGCGTGAACGCAAAAATGAAGGTGAAAATTTGTGAGAGAGGGTGGGGTGTTAGGATAGGAAGCATGTCTTTTTCTCTTTTATTCTCTCTTTTAGCTTTTCTTTGATGGGTGTCGTGGCTCCTGTTTCCTCTAACCCTCCCACGATGCTTCATGCGTTATGTAGGTACGATATTATGTGTGATGATTTGTTTGATAAGGAACCTTCTCACTTTTGCGTACGATAATAATGTTGTGAAATGATGCCTTTGCTAACCGTGATCGTAAATGGTCACTCGAGACTTGCTTCTGCTATCGTAGCTTTTTATCTTATCAAGACTGCCGCTTGTCATCTACTGACTGGAGTCTATATTATCAAAATACAGTGCATCTATCCGCGCAGGAAAAGGATGATAATGGACGAAAATATAGAAATTTTACAACCACAAACAAAAACCATACAATCCCTCACCTATCTACCCATCCGTCCACCTACTCATCCTCCTCATCCGCAATCCCGGCAGCCCTCCTCTCCACCCTCATCAACTCCCTCTTGCGCAGAGCAATCCTCTGCTGCGCGCCGCGCTTCTCCTCACGCAGCTGCGTGTACACCCAAAACAGCCACATAATCTCGACGAACCCCCAGCTAAACACGAGGCTATTTTTGACAGGATGTGTTGTGACCGTCCCCCGCGGGCCACGGTAGAGCCATGTGTACCCCGTCAGGAGGAAGAAGAACGCGAGGCGTACGGGTGCCTGAGCGTCCCAGTATCCACGCGAGACTTCCTCTGCGCTGGAAACGGCGACGAGGTCGCTTATCGAGTGGAGGATGAAGACCAGTCCTAGGAGGGAGGTTGCAAGGGGGTTTAGATGGAAGGTGGACTTTGGGTGTGGCTATGAGATGTGATTAGCGGTGGGGCATGGGGGGGGGGGATTGGGTGTGAGGAGGGGTTACCAGGCCTAAGGATTCACCCATTATAAAGATAAAGTTTTGTTCCGCTATTATGCGGGGGTTTGTTATTAACAGGTAGCCTATTGTTAAGTGTGCGGCTATGTACATTCGGATGAGGGTGTATGCGCTTAGGATGGCCATGGTCGTTGTTTATGGCTATCGCAGTGGGGCTTTGTGTTGGGGTGGTGGTTTGACTTGTAGAGTAGAGTACGGTGGAGTGGAGCCGTCCGTGAGGAGGAGGGAGAGGGGGCGTAATACAGTAATTGTGGTAGGTATGATAACAGGCGAGTTTTCGGGAGACGGCTGGCGGTTAGAATAGCATTCCCCTTCAGGTCACGTCACTGTTGATGATTTCCTGCAAGGATGTGATTTTTCGTGACTAAATGAAATTGTTGAGCCTCATTTTCATCAAGAGCTTACCCGGCTTATGCTACTCTACAACGGGGGACCCTGAGTTGTGCCCGCAAATTAATCTTTTGGCTGTGACTGGATTACCTTTTTATGCCACCTGTTCTGTTCCGCTCCGTTCCTGATTGAGCCGCTACAGAACAGCTCGCACACACGTCCACGTCCCATCATATACCCCCTCCCCAGATATTCTATCTTGAGATAGGATAAGACGAATTGATTTTATTTTCTCAACGGAACACGAAAGAAAGGAAGATGACCACCCCGGCCGAACGCAAGAACCAACAAGTCTGGGATTCGATCGAGGCGGGAGCACTCAAGCAAGCATTACAACTATGCAATCGACGTTTGAAGAAGGGGGAGAAAGGGGATTACTTACTGGTGAGATAGTTTATCACACTCCAATTCTCTAGCCATCTGATTTCGTCAATTGATTAGTTGACTTCTCGCAGACCTTGAAAGCTCACACCCTAACCCTCCTATCTACTCCCGCCAACACCTCCGAAGCCCTACAGCTCGCACAACAACTCTCCTCGAAAACCCCTGCGATCGACTCGATTGACTGCCTCCGCTTGCTGACTCGCGTATGGAACGGGCTTGGCACCGCGCACACAAGTGAGATCTCGCAACTCTGGGAACGCGCGGTAAAGTCCCGACCGAAGGACGAAGCTCTCGCGCGCGAATGGCTCTGGGGCACGGTTCGCAGCCTTGACTGGCGCGGCGCGCAGAAGGCTGCGATGAGCTTGCAGAAGAGCTTTCCGGGTAGGCGTGAGTACTGGTTTTGGGCCGCGGTCACATGTTTGCTGTTGCGCAACTCGCTACCGGAGACGGCGCCAGACAGGAAGCTCTTTGGCATGCTGGCGTACAAGATGATGGCGAAGAGTCGGGATGACACCCCGCTTGATACTACTGTCATCCCTCCTAGGGCTATGCAGACTTCGCAGGAGGTTACTCTTATGCTCGAGCTGCTGTCATATGTTGCGCCCCTCACGGCAAATGAGGAGGCTCTCGAGTTGCTAGATTCTAAGAACTTGGGTGTGGATTCGAAAATTGGTGCTGGAGATTGGTGGGGGCTTGCGAGGAAGCGGTTGGAGGTGCTAGAGGAGAGTAAGAATTGGAAGATGCTCTGGGAAGTGTGCAGGGAGTTGGTGAAGGATAAAAAGAAGAAGGAGGATGAGGCAGCGCTTGCAGAGAATGGGGAGAAGACTAATGGGGAGGAGGACGCAATTGTGAGGAAGGATGATGCTGCCCCAGCTGATGAGGTCGCTACGAAGGGCCGCGGCGATGATTGGCTGATTTGGGAGTGCTTTGTTAAGGCTGTTGGAGAGCTGTGGAACGATGGAGAGAAGGAGCCGGGGAAGGCTGCGTTGGAGATCATTCTTGCCCACTGCAATGCTTCTGCCGCCGCGAGAAATCCCAATCTGGCACTGGTAAAGTTTTCGTCAGTATTCCATGACGAGCATGGTGGGCCTGAGGGCACACCAACTCTGCTGGAAGCTTGCAAGGAGTACTTCGCCAAGACTGGTACCAAGAGCGCCTGTTTCGAGGATCTAAAAGTGTATCTAGAGATGCTTGAGGAAACTGAGACCGAGGAGTTTTTAAAGTTTGTTGCGGAGCGTATCTCCGAGATGAGTGAGGAGACAGAGGTATATCTGAGAATAGTGTTTGGGCAATATTTCGAGATGCTAACCCCGTCCGACAGAAAGGGCGGATTGAGCAGGTCGCTGCAGCAATCAATCATTACAAATTTATCTATCTCCTAAATATGTCGCCGATACCACCTCCGTTGACTGAAGAGGTTATTTCAAAACTGAACGAGTTCATTACCTCTGCGCTAAAGATCTACACATCTAGTCTCTCCCTTGGACATAATTTACTTCCAACGGACACTCAGTATGGCGATGACGCAGCGTTATTATCGGTAATGGGTCTGGTCCGGCTTTCTACATTGTCGGACCCACCATCACCAGTTCCTCTCTACCAGTCGACAATCATCCTTAATACTCTTCTGCAAAAGTCCAAACACAACTATCAAGCTCTTCTGTTACTCGTACGGATATACCTCCTCCTCGGCGCAGTCCCGCTGGCCATGGAGATTTATCCACGTTTGAACATCAAGCAGATTCAAAACGACACATTAGCTCATTTCCTCCTAACCCGAATCAGTGCGCTACATCCATCGTCCAACAAGACAGAGCCATTGCTAAAGGAGGCCCTCAAGATCTACGAGACCAGTCGTGTCCAAACTCCTGGCATGTTAGTACTAGCCTACGAGCGCGGTAGTTATGCACAAATGATGGGGTTTGTAGAGTTCGCAGATAGGGTCTCAGGAAGCGTGTGCCGGGGAATGTGGGAGATTGAGAAGCGAAGGTTAGCACGACTACGTCCATCACTTGCCGCGCAGCAGAAGAACGGAGAATTGATGCGCGACGACGACGAGAACATCTGGGACAATCGCGACTTTAGCGTCGTTATTTCCTGCGAGCGGTCCACGAATCCCCCCTTCGAAGAGACCTTTCGCGTAGGCGCTACTCCGGGCGAGAATTGGGCAAAGGGTTTCTCGGCGGTGGAAAGGCTCGTCGAGTACTTCCTCGACCTAAACCAGGTCGGCAATTCAATCCCAGAGCACGTCCTACCAGTCCTATCCCGCATTCTTGCGGATAAAATGGCAATGACAGAATTCACACCAGTGGAAGTAGAGTACCTCTCTATTATGCAACTAGTTGCGACTGCGGTCATTACTACTGAGCAAGACTCCCTTAAATCCACACTATCGAAAATCCTCTCCTCTCTGCCCAAGCCTCCCCCGGCAACTAGCATAACCCCGCACGCGTGGACCTACCTCCACGCTGCGAACACGATCCTAGACCTCGTTGCAATCCTCCAAACACACTTCGTACCACACGTCAAGCAGAAGAAACTCACGAACGAGCTCTCCGCTGCCCTCGTCGAGTTGAAGAAAGCCATTGTCGTGAATGCGGCCACTCTAGCAAAGGAGGTTGGAGAGGAGGAGGGCAGCGATAGAGAGCAGGAGCTGGTCGATGGTGTGCTTGCGCTTGAGGGCGTGGGGAAGAAGTTGAGATTGTGGGGGATTGAGGGCGGGGTTGAGGCGGTTAGAGCTGTTAGGAAGAGTTTGGCGGTTGCTATTGCGGGGGTCGGGAAGGGGAAGTGAGTGAGAAGATGTTGCAGGGCTGGGTTGCTTTTTGTCGGGATAGATTGGGTTGTGGTGGATGGGGAGGGAAAGGTTTTAGTGATATGGATTATTTCTTATTTTTCATGAAGGTGGGAGAGACAAGCGGAATGTAAAGGGATGCGCAAGCCATGCGCGGCTCAGGGCATGCGCATCCTGTTTGCTGTATAATGGGCACGAGGGGCATATTCATATCCGCGATACCCGCCCCCATGCTTTCCTTTCTTTACCAAAAAAACGAAAGAACGTATCCCGAGCGCTACAAATTCGCCTTGAATATAGCCATCGTTCACTATAGTACTCTACTGTACTATAGTGGATATCCTGGATTTACCTTACCCATCGCATATCTGGTAAATACCGGTTCATGCTAGTGGGAGTGAATCTAGAGATTGTCCGTTGAGTGACCCGGCATATTATAACCTAGCACATTATAATCTAGTACCCGTACAGTATAACGACGAACCCATTAACAACTAGTCTAATATACCCCCTCCGCGGCCCCTCGAGCACGGACCGGCGCGCGCCAATAAGCACCAATCCGGTCACCAAATTGCATCGGGGTCGTCCGAGCCATATCCAGTCCACCACCGCAGGGGTTCCATGGTATCTCTGGTTCCCACTCTACTGTACCAGTAGACATCGGGCTCGCTTGAGCATGGCTATTCGCCAATGGGAGAGGGGCGAGTCGGCATCACATCATAGCCAGCATTAACGAGTGATATTCCATGATAGAGTGCTTGTTATTGGTTGCGGTGGTGGTTTTAAATGAATGGTGAGTTTTGGGGGTTCGAGTTTTTTTTTTGCCCCCCCCCCAAGCGCTCCGGAACGTGGGGGGGAGCGGAGGAGGAGGTCGGGTGCTCGGTCTATAGGACGGAAAGAATACCGGACCCTGGTTGGAGGGGGCGGGCTGCAACGGTGGCGGTTTTGTTCGAGCGGTTGTTGTCATACCCGAGGTAGGGTAGACTACGAACTGTACTCGAGTACCGGTATGATACGATACCGGTCAGGCACTTTGGCGCACCGCCACACAACGTCCAAACGCCCCCCATGTTGGGCCACTCCATCGTCTCTCTGAAGAGATGGCTGGTAAATTAGAGGAGTATTCTCTCTACTAAGTCGGGCTGCCTGTAACCAGTCGTTTCGTGTCACTGTGTGTTGTGGCTCACCGTGGCATACTTGCAACTGCACGGTACTGTACTCGAGTACGTTGTTGATACTGTACGAATACGGCATTTGGTCCAGCCCGATGGATTGGGGGGTTCGGTGCCAATGGGGTCCCAGATGTGACATAGAGGATTTCATATCTTACTGGTACAGTGCAAGTATAACTAATACATGCACCATTGTCTCGCAGATAACGAACACCGCCAGGCAGATTATTATAACATGACCTTTTATTGGCCCGTGAAAGCTTTTTGAGACGATTTTGTGTTACTGTAGAAGCCAGCCGCTCACAGCAGCGGATTCTGGTGAGGTTGTACGATAGCATGACTCGTGATGGTTTGAAATGTTCACCGGAGAAGACATGTCCCACGCCACCAAGTACCCTAACACCTAACCCTGGCAGCGGGGTAGAGACTGTTGATGCTGGAAGGGTGCACGAAGATGGGAACTTGCACGAACGGGGGGGTTCGCTGTACTAGTGTAGTGTTGTCGGTGGAAAACTTTGGGGAGCGGGAGTCTTGACTTCTCCTGAGGGATTGTGGAGAATGTTCATATTACTCTCCTTTGTTATGTGTTGGAATGTTAGGGGGGCGAAGAGACGCCTGCGGCAAGTACGGTAGGGGACGCTTCTGCGATGTCTTATGTTGTGATATAATTACTGTTGTCTTTCCCTAACGTGTTTTTACTTGTGGCGGACGAGGGGCGGGGCTATCATACAGGCAGCCACGGTAATTGTTAATCTATCAATCGAATGGATCGTTACTTTGGTTCACCTTTGGCCACTGCGCACGATTCAAAGCACCAATAGCGAATGCAGGCTTCAATGGATTTTTATTTACCCTAGCATGGCCGACATGGTATATGGCTAGCATCCGAAACCTGCCAAACTGCAGTTACAGAAGAATAAATACAGTACCAACGGATAGAGCCCTCCTCGCACCGTCAACCACAGTAGAAAACCAAACCGGAACAAACCCAGCATCGTTCTATGTCAATCTAATTTCTTATTATCTCCAATTCTCCACATAAACTCCAAAAGCAAATCGAGCGGCCTATTACTTATAACAATCTTCCCCAGACATTGTACGCAAATCCTTCCACAGTGTCATCCTATCCGCATACTTGTATCCGCAAAAACGGATCTCCTCTCGGGTTTCTAACTATAGATCGTTCTGCAAACGCGGATTCAGCAGCGACGTGGCTGCTGATAGGCAACTTTTGCCTAGAGTTGATCTCCACAAATCACCATCCATAGATTTAGCCCAGGGTGTCTAGCCCTTCGACTCTATGCGTGTGGGGTCCAGCTGGCGAGCCCCTCGCTCGCTCACCGAGGTTATTGTATGATACACTAATCTCACGTTGTTTGCACCTTAAGCAACCCTCACCTCACTATATCTGGAACCCTGGGGTGCCCCTCCCCGATGGAGGTCTGGGATCACAAGCACCATGGCCGTCACCCACAACGTAGAGGTGAGGTATCGTAGATATACGGTACCGTACGCGATGGTCTTGAGCCTCTTCCGTCCTCTCCAGCCCAGGATCACCGCGTGCCGTTTGCCCAGCTGAAGTCGGGGACCGGGGCTGCGCTTTCGTCAACTTTACGTCTTGAGCAAAAGACAATTGACATATCATACTAATCCTGGCAACGACTCACCCGCCTGGTGGATCTACTCGAGTACGGTAAGTCAAGTCTCACGTTGCTAAGAGCACCTAGCACCACGCGGGTCTGTGGTTAGCGAGACCACACAAAACCTGCACTGTCTTGCCACCCTCATGACGCTAGGCAATCAATCTGTTTGCAAACATCGGTACTCGTACAATACTAGAATAACAAGGCCCTTCGGGTGACCACCCAAATCTCAAAAAGAGACCTGTGGGTGTCCTGTCTTGTGTATGGCCAATCACAGCTTTCGAAGGGGGGACCTGGGAACCCAGCACACAGCGAGTCGGATGATTTTGCGACTCAGTTCTGGCCTTCCAGGTTGGTGGCATCACCCTTCGGCAATACTGCCCTAATCACAGCATTGTTAAGGGGGCAGGGGAGAGAGCGGTAGTCGCCCCCCAGAGCAGCGATCGATCATATGGTAGGTCAAAGCCCCCGGCTGTCGAATGGAAAAGGAGGGAGAGGGCCGGGGTGAGGAGGAAGAGGAGGGGCGCATGGTCTCGGAGGGTAAAGGTACGAAGACGCCATGCTCCCCACTCAACCGAGCACGAAAGACTACCAGGCTTTGCCTTGGATATCTCCCTTTCGGCGCTCTATAACGAGTAAAGAAAGCACACGGTCAACGACTCAAAGCGAAAAATCTTTGAGAAAAGTAAAGACGCGCAAAGAGAAATTCTTTTGATGTAGTGGTGGTAATCAGTAATAGCCCAAAAATTATCTCGCATGGGTGTTGGTGTGGGAATACGGTAGGTGAGTAAAGCGGGGTTGGAAGATATCCGGTATCTACCGATCAGGCGAAAAATGACCGGCAGCAGCTGCTGATATAATAATTATGGCATGAATCATAAAAGGTGCGGGGTTAGCTGAGCCTTTGGCTTTCACACCCGCGGTTTTGCACTCCCAGATGAGGGGTGGCCTCCAGCCCCCCAACACTTCTGTTTCTTCTTTTCTTTCTTGCCCAGTCGGAAACTATCTTTACAAGCGTCAAAGAATGTAGCCAACCCCCCGGCCGACAAAAGGCAACCTCTCCCAATTCACGATTCAATCGAGAAGACGGGCAGTTGGTTGTCAAGCGCTCCCCCTGGGGACTATTCCTCATCACATTGAGGTCGGGCTCGTGAGCTTGTCGATGGAACGTGCACCTGGGCTACCGAATATTCAAAGCATAAGGACTGGTGGGAGAAAAAAACATCAGGCCTCCGGCCACTCGGGGGCCCAGGTTACGGCGGATCTGTCATCACTTCACCCCTCGGAACCCATTTGAAAATCAGAACGAACGCAATAGTTTGCTATTTCTTTTTTAAGGGCGACAGCAAGCAACAAACGCAACATTCACTCTTTGGGCCACTACACCAACGTTTTGGGCGGGGAAGCAGACTCTGCGGATGTGTTGAGAGGGCGTTTAAGGCTAAAGGCAAGAGGTTTACGGAGGAGGTGGATATGTTGTGGAAACTTTTTGGTTAAGGCGGTGGCAAGTGCGGCGGGGTAATTTGTGTGGTAGATGCCGCCTTAGATGAGTGCGAAGAAGAGACTCTAGCTCCGCTCATTCGTCACGTAACCCGTCTCCCTGGATCACAAACTTCGGATACACCTTTGAAATTCCCGGTTGCAAGTCGCCCATACCACAAAATCAAGAAAGAAATTGGCTTACTCGCGACGAAGATCCGACTGAAACGGATGGAAGAGACTAACGCTGTTACTGCTGATGCTGCTCGTGTCATGGATGAGGGCATTAAAGACCTAGAGTCATGGCGGGGGGGCTGGGGTATTTTCGGAATCTCCCAGGGTCTTCCACCGAACATTCCTCTGGCTTTCTCTTATTCTCAGAATTTCAAAGATAGAGAGGATGACTTGCCGGAGGAGTTTGTTAACATCGCATCCACTGTGCCGCTCGATTTAGCGGTGTTACACACCAAGACTCTTGATCAGATCATATACACCGGCAAAGCCCGATGAATCCTGAGCACAGCGGCAGCAGTTACAGGGACTCTTACACTTCGGGAGATGGACGTTGCATTAGGATTGGGGGGACCTCGGGTCTGCCTGGTGGATTGGAAAAGATAGTAAAAAAATTCTGCGGGATTTTCGTGCGGGTTACTGGCTCGGAGATCTACCTCGTTCACCAAACCGCAAGAGAGCTCCTGATTAAGGGATCCTCACCCGGCCAGGGAAACCGGTGGTACACATTGTGTCCCAAGGATTCTAACTTTATAATGGCCGGGTTTGTATCTCAAATCTTTCGCTAGACGGGTTTAACAGGACCCAACAGTGATGGATGCTTACATTAATATTTCGTGGAAGGCGGTTGATGGTTATCACTAGAAATATGCCTCTCTTGATTGCTCGGCTAGGCACCGGCCAGACCACTTTCGAGATTCGCAGGGTCAACAGATGGAGTCACTCGAGTTTCACGACTGATTTGTGAAGTTGGATCTGAACGTTTCCCGACATGGTTTCAGGTGTACTGGTTCAACACCTTGGAATGGTTTACATTCCTTAGCGATTTGACACATTTGACGGTCGCATTGCTGCCCGGGTAGGGAGCGATGGTCGATCGGCTATTGGAGGAGGGAGGAGATGTCAATGCTCGATCCGAACTATATGGCACCCCCAAGCATAACAACTATCCAGGGAGACGAGGGTACGACTGGGATTGCTGCTGCAGAGGAACGTCAAAGTCTATATCTATGGGAAGGAGTATAACATCTTGCATGTGAAGAGGTCTCTCGGGTTGAAGTGGTTGGTGCATGGCTGGCAATAAATTGTCCTTGGTTTACAGACGGTATGTGAATTCACGGTCCGGTCACCAGATGGCGAGAGCTAATGCGAAACCTGTTTTTCCTTACAGAAGGCATGCCTGACACTTGGGAGCTATAGATCGTAAGTGAACTGCGTTGGAGATAATACGCAACCCTCATGACTGACTCTGGATCGACCCATGGGTATAGAGTGTAAGTTAGCATTTCCAATACTAGTAGATACGAGGATAGGGTTTCCTGACTTGCGGGGAGATACAAGTGGTAGGAGACTCGTCAAACAGCTCCGACGACCGAGATAGCAGCTGGTTGCGGAGCCACTGGATGCCATAGCCTGCACATAACTGGGTCAGCCACAGTCCTGGGACGAGGCAATCTCTAACCGCCAGCTCGCTCGGTGTTGTAACTGCTAGTCAATTATCTAGTCACGGACCCGTGATTGATCCTACTCACTTGCCTCCTACGGTCCTCAGCCAGCGAGAACCCAGCAATTGCCTCGTCCCTGAACCGTGGTTGATCCTGTTCACTTACCTCCTTCAACATTCGGTGAGCCAGATGTCAGCAATTGTCTCGTCGCAGAACTGTGACCGATCCTGTTCACCCACCTGGGGCGAGACGATTGCTAACCTCCAGCCCACTGAGTGCTGCAGGAGGTAGGTGAAAAGGATCAACCGCGATTCTGAGATGAGACAGTTGCTAACCCGTGGCTCGCTGAATGCTGTAGCAGGTTAGCAGTCGTCCCGTTACAGAACCGTGGCTGGTCCTATTCACTTGCCTCCTACAATCCTCCGCCAGTGAGAAGTCAGCAATTGCCTCGTCCTAGAGCCGTGGTTGATCCTGATCACTTACCTCCTACAACACTCAGCGAGCCAGACGTCAGCAATTGCCTCGTCGCGGAACCGTGACCGATCCTGTTCACTTACCGGGGCGAGACAATTGCTAACCTCTAGCTCGCTGAGTGCTGTAGGAGGTAAGTGAACAAGATCAACCACGATTTTGGGACGAGACAATTGCTAATCTTTGGCTCACTGAATTTTGTGGTGGGTAAGTGAGCAGAATCGACCATGGGCCTGGGATGGGATGGCTGCTGGTACCCGGCTTCTTGCTTCCTTCAGGTCGTGAGCTGGCCTACACGTTCTCCGTTGTCTGTTTCTACTTTACTGATATATCCCGTTGTTACAGGTATGTAACCGGCAGCTGTTAAGGCCCTCGTTAATGCTGGCGATTCCGGGCTACACGCCTGTTTTCCTCAACAGGAGGTAAGCATTTCGAATCTCCATGTATCTACCCCTTTAGAGCGCTAATAAATTGCTACTTGCTCGCCTCAGTTTGTATGCAAACCTCTGTCTCCTACTCTACTCTCTTCTACTCACGTAGAGCGTGCCTCGCAACCATTTGGTCAAAATAGGAGGTGAGCATTATGATTTTATTGCTGTTAGCCCTGCCCGCACGGGATAGCTATTAACACTTCTCGTAGCCCGTGAGTTTTTCTAGCTTGCTATCCCCACCCCCATTGCAGATTGTTATTGACTCCATTATAGTTTCTCAACCCGGATGCACCAAACCCGCGCACCTTGCCCACCCAGGGCACGACCTCCTTGCGCCCAAGGGATATTGTGGAGACTGGTGAGTATTATTCCCCGGGGGTTTTTTTTAACGAATACTCAAATATCTTACTGTGTAATAGGTTGAACGCCTCTAGTGGATTACTTGTTGGACACCCTCGTTCCTTCGGTACCTTTACCGCCTCCTCGTGGACTCGCTCCTCACTTCCATACCCTATTCTTCTCTCGGCCGTCGGGGCTCGCTTCGGTGGGGGGCATGATATCTGTATCGGGATGAAGAATTTGTAGGGGTCGACCGTAGGTTGTTTAGGGTGTTACAGTATGCGCAGTCTGGTGGCTCGACACGGGGGGTACGCTGTGTATTTTATTGAGGAAGGATTAGGGCGGAAACGAAACATGCTGAGAATATATTCCGTAGGGAAATCTATATAATATTATCATAATATTGTCCTTGAGGGGCCAAAAACAAGTTATGATATGTCTAGATCGTCTACTCATGCCCACAACCCAATGCCCCGCTTTCTGGCTTCCTGGGCCGCTTCCTGGGCCCCCACCCCCCCGCGTGCCAAAAGGGCAACAGCGCTGGAAAGGAAATGTTATGATACATACAAAACACCTGGGTGAGCGAAAACACTACAGTGAGGAAAAGCCGAGGCGCAAGGTGTCGAACGAGGTCTTGCTATAGCAGCTACGATAGAATGTACACGAGATGAGGCCTGCCTAATAACGCTAAGCGATATCTAGCCCCCGTGGCGGGGAAGGAGCCGCAGCCGGATTTAGCTACGCGCAAACCCGAAAACCATCTCTGGCATAGGTGGCCGGGTATGGTGGAGTAGGTGAATATTAACATGTCCGGAGTGGGATTTGGAAGATAAATACTGTATCTGCCCATCAGGCGAAATGTTACTGGTAACTTAGCAACCACTAATTTCACACAAATGGCCAAGTTCGGGGGGGGGTTAGCTGGGCTGCTGAGTTTCGTGCTGGCGATTTTTCTCTCTCGAGGGAAAGGGGAGTCACTAAGCTCCTCGCTACCTTTCAGAGGACCCATAGCGAGTGATATATCATGACTAGTGAATTCTCGGGCGCGCTGCAGTAGTTTTGTTAGTTGTACCAGCGTCGCTGGGCTGACGCACAGTAAGTACTATAGTGGCATTGCGTCCCAGATACGAGCCGACGTTGGCCTGCCTCAGCCTCGGTACATCTGGAAAGTGCCACCCGGGCAACTCGTAGCAGACTAACCATGATGCCGAACCGGCATAACACGGGGGCATCATGGCAGTCGGCAGGCCCGTCCTGGCCGGGACCGCGGGGGGGGGGGGCGAAAAGCCGGCTCAGCATCTCGCTCGAACCAGCTCAATTTAGGCAAGTTTCCGCCAGTACCTCCCCGCCGTCACTGAATAAGGGGTTTTTTTCTTGATTAATCCCGTGGGAATAGGTGTGGTCCCCATGGTAATTAATGAAACCTAAAGGAAGCACGAAAGAATGAAGTGGTGAGAGTGGAATCACAATAGATGATAAGTGGAGATGAACACGGAAGGAGGGAAAATCTCTAACTGACAACCAACCCCCTAGCTAATGATAGGACCGGAGATATATATCTCCCAAACTCTAAAAACTCAACGAACTCCAAAGAAACACACCAAGCTAACGAACCATGATCTCAAACAATCTAGAACCATCCTGATATCTCATGATCCACTATGACCCCTCAAGCATTTGCCATATACGAACTACCCTATGCCTAATAGCGTAGGGTGTGAAGGAGGCGGCAAAAACCAAAAACCTATATCCTATGCCTAGTGGCATAGGATGCGAAAGAAACAATCTCATGCCTCATGCCTGGTCACCGCACACCTCAAAAACACATGCCCGATAACCTCCTATCTGCCTAATTGCATACCCGAACCACATCCACCAAACCACATGCCCTATAGGTAATCCAACGGTAATAACAATTGTTTCCATTCTGGGTGGTTGATCGATCACTACACTGGAGAAAAATTGGTCATGATAGACTAAACACGGGCATGCTCGTGTCCATCACTGGATTTCTGACTTGCGGGGAGATACTAGAGGTATAAAGTTTAGAAAATATCTCCACATCTCTGATTTGGTGAAAGATACGAAAGGAAGTTTCCCGCGAGGTCTGCATATCTCCGGGAGCCAGGGTCCAACCGGCCGAAGGTTCAAGATCAGCTACAAAACGGACAAACCAGTTCCAACTCCTTCGGAGCCTCGGGGTGCCTGTGTTGGTCCATTATGTACTATACTGCTCCAGAAGAAATCAAGAGCAGCTCTGCAATGGAGAGGTCCCCCGTACTAAGGCTGCCACGCCATCTAGGAAACTTGCTCGACAATTAGGAGTGGTGGACGCTGGGCCCTTGCGGTCCTCAACTATAGCCAGCCATGTCACAATTCTCGTCTCCTTCCCCTGCATCACAGAATCGGCAACTTCGTTTCGTTACTGCCTTTGTAGTACCGTATTGTAATATGTGCTATTCAACATTTATTGAGCACACTTAAGCAGTTGGTAAGGACGTAGAGCACCTCCGGCGAACGAGTAGGTTCTCGGCACCAGAGTATCCAAAACATCACCTGACGACGAAGGATATAATTTTCGAGATAGCGGACGATCAGTCCGGATGGTATATCATTGCATAGGGAACGCAGATGTTGGGAGTCCAATTCCTGTCCTGGTCGCCGATGTATGATATGATAGCAGGCATTGGAGAACAAAAACATCACAGTACTCTGGTTTCCCTACAACCCCCAAGTACTTTCCCACAGCTGAGGCTGTTTTGTCCCTCCCTCTGCGGATATTTTATCACGAAAGCGGCCCCCGATCCAGTACGGGATTTTACGAATTTTGAGAATGAAGATATATGTCCATCGGACAACCACGAGGAGGGGTATGTACTAAACGCTGCCAGGCTTCAAGTTATCGACACCGAGTTGACACAGATAACTAGCAATGCCCCACTGGAGACTCCAAGAGTCGTGGTTTGGTCCGACACGTGCTGGCTCGCTGCAGCGCTTTAGCCACCGTCGCGCTTTTGCTCATCCAGGTGCATTACATGTATGATAGATCTTCCCTTCTTGCCATGATACCTCTCCAATGTCACCGCGCTTCCTCGCAGGTAGTTGGAGTCCGGTACTAGCGAGCGAGCATAACGTTAGGTCATGGGCACAGCCCAGCGACCTTGCTCCTCGGTCTAGGGGGGGGGTCTTTTTTGCAGGACGGTGCATAATACCCTTGAGATCCTGGGGGAGCAGAAAGCGATCTGCTCCATTCGAAACTGGCCTTGCGAGTGCAGGCCAATAAATAACCCACGGGCCAGTTCAAAGTGAGACTGACTTAGTGCTTTTAGGTCCGGCCTTTCCACCCCCCGCACGCTTCATTGGTGCCTAGAGGCGTCGGGAGTCTCCTCCGCATCTGCCATGCAATCAGTATATACACTTTTTCAACTTGAAGTAGATATTTGCGAATATCCTTGGATGCCCATAGATAGGCTTAAAGCATCGAAGGTTCGAAGGTAATGTGGGTGCTGGGCAATTACCTACGGCTCGAAATATACCCCAAAATGTGAATGAAGCACTAGCACATCCATAACTACTTATCGTACTTGATCATCAAGCCATCCATTCCACCGGTTTAGTCTTATTACAAGCCTCCAATCCCTCACACTTCCCTTTACACCCCCCCCCCCCGCCCCCTCACATACACACAGCGTGATTATCCAACCACGATTCATCCCGATGATTCAGCACCGCAAGGAGATTCGCGCCAAGTTCTGCGCACAGGGGGGCTTCAACCCCCGACCATGGGTAAATTGTGGTGAGGATAACACGCCACGCCAGTATAGTTGAGTGGGTGCGGAGACTGCTCGTTCTGTTCGATCCATGCGAATATATGCACACGTTTTGAGAGGCTCGAAGTCGGCGAAATCAAAGCGATCATGCTCGATCGCTCATAATAAGTAGTGTGTCTATGATATGGTACCCCTACTATGCTTCGTCGTTGACGGGCGGGTGGGGATGGGGCAGAAGGGAGAATGGGGCGCGGCGGCAGCGGCTAGATCTTTCATATTGTGGTTTTTTCTTTCTTCGTATTCGTGTGGGATTCTTCAAGTTGCATAAAAATCTTTGTAGAACGGTCAACGGGTGGGCAGCCATGTGGATCCTATACCTATTTCAGGCAAGAAGTACTCGAGTATTCAAAAACAGGGGATTCTCGTCATGCGTTGCAAGGAGGATGAAATACTGATGCGAGTACAGTACTAGCGCAGTACATTGTGACGGGGGAAAGCGCGGGTAGTGGCTGCTGGGAGAGAGAATGCTGGGATTTACAGCGATGTATCCGAACCTTTGGGGCTATCATACTCGCTTACCGCTAACTCCATAAACCCGTAATATACGGTACAGTACAACCCCTAGAACGGGCACAGCGAGTGAAGCATCACGACTCATCCGTTTCAAAAAAAAAACCCCGCCAGCCAGCCAGCCAGCCCGCGCAACAAAAAGCCTAAACAAGCCTAATAAAAACGCATACCACACATAAGAAGCAAGACCGCCACCCCCACAAAATCAATACAAATACAACCTCCCCCCCTCAACCGCTTGTCCAACCTGCACTCCGACCTCACCGCAGAATCTCTTGACCGCGGGCCCCAGCCTCGCCCGCCCCACAGAGTGGTTCCCCCTACCGACAATCACCCACAGACCCCCATTCCTTATACGCTCTATGCACCCGCGCAGCACGTCGATCGCCTCTTCCACGTACAGGCCGTGCAGGTCGACTGTGTCGTCCGGGAGGTCGGCGTTGTTGATGCAGAAGATGAAATCCTTGGCCTGCTTGTTGTAGGCTTTCATGTTCTCGCCGTGCTGCTTGCCCTGCTGCGACAGGGCGTGGGCGAGGGCCCGGTCGCCCGAGGTGTAGGCTTGGTGTGAGGCTGTGAAGCTGATGTGCCGGGCTTGCGCTTCCGAGGAGGCTACTTTGGGTTGAGGGTTAGTTTGGTAGGGGGGGGGGTGGGGGGGAGGGTTTTACGGGCTCGGAGGCGGTCGTAAGTTTCCATGTATGCATAGTCATCTTCAGAGTCGGAGTAGTCGGCGTCTGACATTGTGGGGAATTTTTCTTCTTCTTTCCTTTCGGGAGGTTGTGAATTGAATTGGGATAGTGGATTGTTGTGGGTGTAGAGATGCTAGATAGCCAAGGCTGAAGAGTAGGGAGCGTAAGGTACGCACTCCGGAATTATATAGATACTCGAGCGGGGTATAGCTATCCACATGATCTCTTATCCCCACAACCCCAACCCCCCGCGTCTAGTTACAGTCCGGCCAGTAATTAACGCCCACGCAAACGCAATACCAACGAATATCAAGTATTTAGCCTACAACCGAATGAATATCCAAGTCTCTGACCGGACACCCCTGCCGTACCACAGTCGAAAATAGACTCCAAATAATTGACTATGAGGGTGGGACCGAACAGAGCTTACAAGAAATCATTGGGTCACCTAGCGAGCGGGGGCAGACATAGCAATGCAGGAAACCATCTATCGAGACCAGTAGGAGCCAACGACGTATCAACGATAGGCTTCCTCAGTTTGAAGTGACACACACCCATGAGTGTGGGTATCATATCATGCGGGTAGCCGCTCTAGTCGATATGACGGGGAACGGAAATGCCAGTACCGCCCTATCAATGATTCGATAGTTCTCAAGCTTCCGTCGAGCGGAGCGTGAAGGAAGCCCCCGATCCCACAAACCAGCAATAACTCGGCTGCGACGCCCCCCTCAGGTGTTAAGCCATCTCGGGCGGGCTCTGGGCGGAAGCCCACTTCCTGCACTTCCCGGGCTGCCTCCAGACAGAATTAGGCCGCCAGCTGATGTCTCAGATATAGTTATCGCTCATCCGGCGGTGAGGCGCATGAAGTAACCAAGTAGGATACTCCCCTTGTCACCCCAACCTCCCGAATGTGAAGCCACTCAGAATCCCCCATTGCCTTGGGTAGCCCCACTCCACATCGGGCGCTGGTCCCGGGTAACGAGTGAGACCCCATGACTCTGATAAAAAGCAAGCACATGTTCCCGAAGCACCAAAGCCATCTATGTACCCTCCCCCCGAGATGACCGCACCCACCGCCCCGGAAGCCGAACAAACGCACGCGGGGACGTGGAACAAACCCCAACCAGGTGAATTTCTTTTTTATTCCAAACCCGAACCTCACGCAAAAGTAGCTACAACCTAAGAGAGTCAGGCTAGAAAAGCGACATCCCAGTTTTCCTCCTCCTCTCCTCCTTCATATCATCAATCTGTCCACCAAGTCACCAGAATTAGTACTCCGCGCGCGCAATCCCCCGCGCCCACAGGCAAACATACCCATTTCTTCTTACAATCCCTATACGCCCTACCATAGCCAATCAGCCACCCGCGCGCCATTCCAGAAAATAGAGACCCACTGAAAATAATCGGAGCACATCGTTCTATCCCCTGCGTTCCTGTTCAGACACCTGATCGAGCGATTCGCAGCTTCCTGACAGGGGTCGAAGTACTGACTTGACGACTTCCTAATTGTCCGTGGGTGATTAGCCATGCACTCTTGGGGACGAATGGAAGGGAGGAAGGGTATGTGGTACTGTACGCTTTGAATTTAGCCTTCGTTTCCGGATGCAAGGGGTCCTCCATGTCGTGGTCATTATTGGAGGGGGCGGGAGGGGCGGGAGAGGTAGCGGGCATTGTTTGTTCAGGTCTGCTAGGTTCGGTCCGGGTCCGCTTTGCCTCGGTGGTGGTAAATTTAGTGGCCGTACGGTATGATAGGCCAAGGGATGTGAGGGTGTGGAAGTGCAGAGTATGTCTCAGTAGGGTAAGTTTAAAGGGTGTTTGCTCTAATGCGGGAGTCTCCGGTGGTACTAGTATCATACGATCGCACCTCAACTGCGGCGGAATTTTTCTTCGAGCCTCACAGCCACATGTGGCTAACACCCAACTAGGATATCATAAGTTACTCACGGAACAAACCCCAATCCCTCTCGAAGAAAGCCTCGAAGAAAGCAAATAACTTGACATCAAATCAAACTACCGGTATGATATAAAAAATAGCACCCTAACTTATCATCCCCCTCCACTTCCCTCCCCTTACCATAACAAGATCTTCCACTCCAGCTTTCACAATCCGCCCGCAAGAAGTGACGGGAGGGATGAATCTCCGGAAGCCGGGAGTGTTCGATGTCCAGATGCGGACCACCGGCCAGTCGGTGCCTGAAGGGCATTATAGTCTATCATGAGAGAGAAGGTGTGCAATATAAGTTAACCAACTCAACCAACCCTCCCCTCCGTACGCCATCCTATGACATGTCCCAAATATATCCTAGGTCACCTACGACTGGCATATCGCATCACGTTAAACCCCCCCCCCCACTTCTCCCACCTTCACCAGAATAAGATATACCCAGACCCGGCATCACACAGCCACATTCAAACATCCACCCCTACAGCTCCCCACGATTTCACTCCCCAGGTACTCGTAGCACGCAAGAAGCACCCAAAAATAGGGACCGATAGAATATACCGCACGGTGAAAAATCAGTGAAAAAGTTCACCACGTCGCTTTCGGGCACTCGCCCGCCAACAGCACCGCCACTGCCCAGTTAGCGTCCTTGGAGCTACTGCACACTTCGTAAATATAGTGCAGTGCCGAGATCGCGTGCTTGATACATGGTGGTATGGAGGGATTGTCCGTCCACGGCACGAGTATCATACTATATGCGCTGTTTGGAACGGGCAGTGTAGTACTTGTGCACCATCATTCATGTCAGGTGGTGCCATGACGGATGCGATAAGGGCAATAACTGCTGGCTTTGCGGGGCGTTGGGGAGTGTGTAGGGTGGGGTATTGTGGTGAGTGCCGTAAGGGGGGGGGGATGTATCAAGAAAGGAAGGTGAGGGTTGTACAAGTGATACATAGCTTATCATACATAGCATAAGGAAGTTAGACTATCACTGGGGCGTAGTGTGATAGCAAACCCCATCCACTCATGGACTGCTATGCTATGGCTATCATATGCACTGCTCGCCTCGGCGCAAACGATTTCAAATGAGCGAGTAAGCAAAACGACCATCGCCACCCCGCGACATCTCCACTTCCTCACTACCTACCTCCTCCTTGCGTGTCCGCCTTCCACCGGACTACCCGAAGCACAGACAAGAAAGAAAGATTGACAGGCACAGCACGATACACATGCCAGAGCAAGACACCGAGGACCTGGATATAGCTAACTCTTCAAGAGAAGACAGCATATGCCACAAGCCAGAAAACTAGCAGACTTGTGTGGCAACTCGATTTTCCAATGGTTCCCCCAAATAATTGAGCTCCCATGCTCGTTGTGCACTAGTAATAAATTACTACCCCCCCCCCCGGCGGGGAAGGACTTGTGCCACCTGCTAGGACAAATGGGGTGTCAAATATTGGCTGGAAAGCACGAGTACTACAGGAATGCACTCTCCTTCTCCCACCAACTTCCTAAAGGGTTTCTGTGTTGGTATGATATTACCGGTAGGAATTCTGGATTGAAATTTTTTTTTTGGATGCTGCCAAGAGATAAGTAGATAACTCACACCCCGTCGAGGATAGAGGAGGGTGCTATACCGTATTATGTACTGTACTATGCACTGTAGATGGACCGCCTGTGTGTTCAGGATGAGGCTCATTCAGGATGACCTGAATGAGCGGTGATCAGCGCATTTGCCAGAATACAGTCCACGCAAGTGAGCCACTAGGAAGTTTCCTATTTGGGACTAACCGTCCCGTTGAGCGGGTTGTCTGAGTGGCCTGGAGGCTGTCTATCGGGTTTATCGAGCACCGTGAGGATGTCCATTTCGTGTTTGCTCACTTGGCTTACCAAGCGGCACGCCTTGCACTGCGCACATAACATACCTAACCGCCCAAGTGAAGCACGATTTAACAGCTATACTGTAGCGCGTAACACCAGACAACCAATAAAAAGCACTTCCGCATACCCCAGTTAAACCCTTTCTCCATGAAAAACACAAAACTCCCCCAGAGAGGGCTTCCAATTATTCAGTAAGTTAGATGCTCGTTGGCACCTCGCAAGAATAGATCACATGGAAGTGTCCGGGTTCAGTCATGTAACTTAACAGGACTTCCTGCAATTGATGCTAGACAGTGGGGAAAGTAGGAAACAGGAAGGTCGTTTTCGCTAAGTTTTAGCCTAAGGAATCCATCCACGATGCCTCGATTAATTAAACGGCAAGGCGGGGAGCGCCGATGACCTATATATCATACCGGTACAGTACAAGGACTCGAGTGCCTATCTGTGAGCTTGAAAAGATGGAAAGAAAACTACCGCAGAATTCCATAAATAAGGCGCGCGCCTTATTCAACATTTGTGGTGGGAGGAAGGGTAGCTAAGGTTTAGGGTTACCTACAGAACCAATAATCTGTGGTGTAGACATCATATGTAAGTAGAGTGAGAATAAGGTAAAGATCATGAGAAGCAGGAGAGTATCATACAGACAGTTTCTGCTTCTCAGAAAGACAAGAACTTTTACTTTCATAATTCTATCATAATGTTATTTCCAAGTTCACAATTATCATTTCAAGGGGCTCGGTTACCTCGCCAAGGTCCAGCCCCAATACCTGTCATGCATGAATACGGCAGCTACTTCCTCATATCCCTCAGGCTATTTTGAATTCAGGACCAGCTGAGAGACCAGTTTTAGCGGAAAAGCAGTCGGTTAATCCTCTGATTGAGATTGCAAACCCAGCACAGAACCCTGAAAGTAGGAAAAGATATAGGAGTATGGTTGAAGGGAAAGTAAAGAAGCGAAGAACAACAACCCGGGAAGAGAGGTTGAAGGCTTTGACATTTCTAGAAAATGGTTGAGAATAGCATAAAGATTTAAATGGTATTTATTCATAGTCAGACTACTGGTTGTATCTTTTTACAACTAATACGATTAATGGTTATCAGTTAATATGATTCTTCAATACGTATCAGTTTGCCGAGTGGCCACAATGTGTAACGATCCCTCCTTGGATGGTTAGGTCTTGGCGACAGGGAACGATACTTCTCTTTTTCTTCTTCTCCTCTTCTTTATCTTACGATAGTGCTAGGCCTTTGCCTATGTTACCGATAGTATAAGACCTCTGTCTTCTATTGGGAACTCCTATAGTAAGCTTTCTCTAACTCTTCGTTGTAAAGAACTTTTTCTTGGTGTAACGATAATATTGCAATAAAGATAAAGATTGTAAAGGTGTTTTATATTCATTAAAATAATAAGTAGGAAAAGTACTTAGAACAAAGCATGAAGAACTTATTCTCCTCGGCCGCATCAGCCTCCTTATATAGTGTTCTTCCCGCCCATAGTCATGTGATCCAAAGTGGTCACATGTGCAAAATCAAATCATAACAAACTAGTCATATGACCAAGATTGTCACATGCTCAAAACCCATGACCTCATAACGAGGTCATATGCAAAACTTATAAACTAATCATAAAGCGATAAACAAGTCATATGACTCGACTGAGTCATATGTGTGAAATCCATGATCTCATAATGAGGTCATGTGCGAAACATAAATCATATGTACCGGGCCTACCCGCAAGGTACACTCACAAGGCATACTCGCCAGATGCACTCCCATAACTCATATTTGAGCAATGTGCGAAAGCATCACAAATCCCACACATAACAAATCATATGACTTGAATGAGTCATATGTGTGAAACAATAACATACTTGTGACTCATAACCATGTATCACGTGAAAACCTTTTCCTCGCCAAGCCATATTCATAACACAATACTGGACTACAACGAGAGCTAGTTACCGAAGTAGAAGTCTGAAGAGAAGAAAATTCTTAATATCAAAGAAAGTACATGCAGTATCGGTATTTTTATAAATGTTACTCAATTAAGAGAGTATTAAAAATGCTAAATATTAATAGGAAGTGGTCCAACATCCTCATGGCCAAATATGGAGCTTTGGCTTACTGCATTGTGGCAAGAGAAAGTAAGTAACGGTTCCGAGATTACTTGAAAGTGGTTTGAATAGCATGCACTATAAATCTTCAAAGAGGAGTATCCAGAGGAGGTTACAATTGTGAAAGGAAAGAAAATGTACTCCTATCAACTCTCAAATGGCTGGTTTTGAAGTTTTAAAGACAGATATAGAATTTCCTATTGAGCTCCAACATCTCAGACACAACATACCCCAATTGAGTATGAGCAAACTGCTTCTCAATTTTTAGGCTTCATTAGATTCAATTCAAAACCACGAAATGGGGAAGAAATTCAAACAATTGGACGATACAATTCTTGTTCCATCTTCAACGTTAATCAAATGACCTTACATTTTGACTTTTATACACACACTTATGCTCTATGAGGAATCAAATCAGTTAGAAAAATGGTTGCTACAAAATCTTGGACTAAATGGCAAGCCTCACTGATGATTTTAATTATCACCAATTGGCTTTCTCACAGCAAGCCACTTCTGATATTCTGGGATGAGGGAAAAGGGGCTAATATTCAAAAAGAATCTTACTTCTACAATGACTGAGTAACTGTTATTTTTAATAAAAATGCATATACTGATACAGCTATTATGTTGCACTGAATCAAAGAGCACTATACCAAGACGAGTTTCACCAAACCAAAATACAGATGCTGTTAACCCAGGCCCCCAAGTACTATCATGTCTC